GACCCCCTGGGACCCCCTTTTGCCTCCGGCGGCCCTCCGGGGGGCTCCTGCGGAGCGCCTTTTCTCCTGCGAGGGCACCCACAGCGACCCACAACCCCCCCCCCCCAACACCCGCCGCACTCGCACTGTTTTGCATTTAAGGTTAACCAATCACAAGCCAGGAAAATCGGATCCTCGTGCGGGGACTGGCTACAGGCCATTTAAGCTACGAACTGTGTCCCGAATAGGAGAAACCTTTGTCAGCATTTCTGTCAGATCACCCGGGTAAAGAACAGCTACGCCACAACACCGCCTCCGCCTCGCAAGCTCGGCTCCGACGGTGTTGTGGCTTCGCTGAATTACAGCCACCAAAATCGCATTATTTTTGCTATTTCGACACGCCATCTAATAACTAGATGTTAGATACCTCCAGTACACAAACAGGATACCGTCCGCCACTGAGCAACACATGGAAATGCTTTCATTTTGCTGCCAGTACCTCAACTCCGACCCCTTCATCAAACCGACCTCCACCGAACTCCGACATGAGCATGCTGAAGCAGGCTACTACGCGTTCCAGGACTACGCAGCAGCGCATTGGTGGGATCATGCGAAGTCCCTGGAGTCTAGCCAGAAACTACAGCAACACCAAGAGCAGCCGCAGATCGTTGCAGACCTGACAGACCTTCTCGCCAACTACGGCAGAGGCGCTAAGTGCTCGACAAATAGCCGTGTGAGGAACCTTGGCGACATTCTGGCGGATCTCCATCCGTTAGCCAGCGAGAGGAATAAGGATCTGCTCTTTGAGCATCGAATATCATTGATCCGAGAGGCAGTGGTATCCGTACAGGAATCCGCCGCAAAGTCGCAGGACAGAGAATTCTCGGTCAGAATGGACGGCATCTACGGTCCGTTGCGACACAAGTGCCCAAAGCCATGGTGCAGCGAGTTCCATCTGGGGTTTGAGTCGCAAACGCGGCTCCAAGCCCACAATGACGCCCATGAGCGTCCCTTTAGGTGTCCGGTAGAGGGCTGCGCCGTTGCAGCCGTTGGGTTTGTGTCCGAAAGTGCCCTTAAAACGCACCACAAAAGGTACCACCATGTGGAAAAGGAACCAGTTTTCGAGACGGCCGACAACCGAACCTGGCGCAAGCTCCTGTCTCGAGCAATTAAGGCTGGATCACTTGAACGGGTGAAAGAGATCATATCCCCACCCGGGAGCGACGAAGTTTTGAGAGAACGCGCGAGAGGAAGTCTGCAGGAATACGCACACACTCCTCTCCTCGAAGCTATCAGATCAAGGCAGCCACATATTTGCGAATACCTTCTTGAGGCAGGAGCGGATGTTAACCGAGCGTCGGGGAAAACGCACGTTACCCCACTTCGTGAAGCTATTGCGACCAACGACCAAGAGATTTTTAACCTCCTCCTCCGGCAAGACGGTGTCGACCCTCTCGAGGAGCCCTCCCTGTGGCCCCCAGAGCAGCGAGTAAAGCACTTCCTGCCACCAGGCAAAAACGACACTCTGGACTTTGCATTGGCCTTCTCCTCCGTCGAGTTCATTCTTCCTATTCTGTCCAAAGCCGACCTTCCCACCTCTCGTTTATTTAGTTATCTTCAAACTCTTACCGAATCACGGGCGCCGGGTCGCAACGAAGTTCTCCGTGTTTTGGCAACGAGCAAACTGGGATTCCGTTCGGACAAATGTGACGAGGAAACAGGGGGATCCTTGCTTTCATTTGCAGTCAGAAACAATAGCGCAAAAATGGTGGCGTCAATTCTGGCCACCAGCTCCAACGACATCAACTCCAAAGATAAATTTGGGAAAACGCCGGTGTTTTTGGCTGTGCAGAATAGCAACGAGGCTGTTCTTAAATTGCTACTGGAAACCGGCCGCGCAAACGTCAACTCGAAGGAGAATAATGGTTTTACTCCGTTGTTGTGGGCCGCCGGATTTGGGAACGAGGCTGTTGTGAAGTTGCTGGTGGAAAGCGGCTGCGCCGACGTTAATTCGAAAGATACCGACGGTTGCACACCACTAATCCGGGCCGCCAGAAGGGGGGACGAGGCTATCGTTAAGCTGCTTCTCGACACAGGTTACGCCGATATTAATTCGAGAGATAAAGATGGCTGGACGGCTTTGTCTTGGGCCGCCTATGGGCAAGACGAGGCTGTCGTTAAGCTGCTGCTAGGAGCAGGTTGCGCCAATGTCAATTCGAAAGATGACGATGGTTGGACGCCCTTGTCGTGGGCCGCCCAGAAAGGGAACGAGCCCATCGTCAAACTACTAGTTGAAACCGGCCGGGCCGACGTTCATTCGAGCGATAGGGATGGCCGGACACCACTGTCTTGGGCCATTTTGGGAAAAAACGAAGCTGTAATTAAGTTACTAGATAAAGCCGCCGGTGTCGACAACGAGACGAAGGAGGAAAATGGCTAGGTGCTAGGCCGGCGAGAGGAGTTGGGAGGCCGTTGCAGGCCACTCGACAAGAAAATCGCCGATGGAGAGAGGACGCCGCCGCCTTCCTTAATAATCGCCTAGTTTGCCGGAACCAAAGGGCAGGTAGCGACTGTCATCACAATAGAAGGACAGCGGTATTGAGGTAGGAACGGTCGTTGGCGCAGGGCACTAAACTTCTGTGGTATAATGGGGAACAAAGGAGACCCCCCGCTGGCCGGCAGCTTTTCTCATACAATAGTCAACCCAGGAGAGCAACAGCAGACATCCGCATATCCCTGTGAGTATGGCGGTGTGTGCTAATCTACGCAGGTCGCTGGGCCCTTAACATCCGTCCACACGGGCGCCCCTTACCAGCAGCCCGATGACCTAGAATAAGCGCAGCAGACAAAGCTAGCGCATAGCAAGACAGCAAGCGACGGCGATCACCTGCAGTCATCCATCTAGCTGGTACGCCTGGCTTGAACTACACCGGATCTGTGTGATATCGCATTCAGCAACCAAGACACCACCACGACTGAGACCAAACAAGCTCGTCACAGTGACACAGAAGATGGTATGGGGAGATGCCGAGGCGCATGGAAGGTCTGGATACTACGATGCAAGCACACAGACCTTCACAATGTCTGAGTGTCAACTCCAGGGTATGATCTTCAGTACGGGAGGTGATGAGCCTGCAAGAGAAGATTTCCAGATGTCATCTCCATCCACCCACGCCGGTTAACATGCAAGCGCCAAGTGCATGTCAGACACGGGATGGACTTGTAAAGTCTGGGGAAGCTGCAGCGCGGACAGAACCGTTGTAGTCCACTGGGGGAGGGTGTCGTGCCCTGAAATTTGGAAATGCCAAAAGTTACTTCTTTGCATCAGCTTCATATGCCATCCACTTGATACATATCAGGGGCAACTGTCTGGTGACGGTTTATCTGCGCCCGGCAGCCCCATGACTATCACAACACGCCTAGGCCTTCGTTGTTGCGACAAGGAGATCTTGTCGAGAGGTGGTTGATGCACGGCTGCTGTCGGCGATGGTCGCGACATCGGCCAGGAGCCTCTCGCTGGCTCGGATGTCAGCGAGTTGAGACAACCTACGCAGCCAAGCAGACACCACACAGCACTCCCTGCATTCCTCATTCGAGCGAAAGGGGTGTCGTCTGCGCCAGGCCGACGGATGTAAGCGAGAGGACCGTCGGGCTGTCGAGCGTCGTGCCCAGAGATAAGGAGCATGACGCCCTGCGCTGTGGGCCAATGGCGGGCCCCGATCAAGTGCCATCCAATTAGGGACCGTCCAGGGGCTTAATTGGTCGCGATAAGCACGCTCGGAGCAGCCTGACGCCAAGGCGGACAGCACCCTCGCTAGCAGCCGCGCCCCTACCCCTGGGGCGCTGGAGGGTGGGGAAAGGGCACGAGCATGGGGAAGACAGGTGGGTGTGCGCCATCTTTTCAGCCCGACGATAATGGAGTCATCAGGAGTCACGGGCGGCGCCACAAGAGAAAAACAATATCTCTGGCCAGCGAGGAGTCGGTGTGCGCAAACCTCCGCGATATTCGCCCATCCCATCAGAGCCTAGTCCACTGGTGATTCGGGCCCGGCGCCTTGGGACCTGTGGAGCCTGTGCTAGGAGCCAACAGATAAGCCTCAGTCTGCTCCAGTGGCAGCACCCGTCCAAGACCCCGCCGTAATGATAATTTGTGGGATTATCCAGGATTCCCTGGCCTGTCTCCGAGGCAGGTATCCGTTGTCGACGTGTAAGCCCAACGATTGCAACATGGAGACCGAAATGGACCAGCTGGGCGAGCATTGCATGTCGACGCCTGCGCCCACATGCACGTTGGCTCCTGCGTGTCCCACCTCCTTTATTTGGGTACACCGCAGGAGAATGCGGTCCTCTCCTGAGTGCCTGTCACACACGACTTGCTAGGCTGAAGTGCTGGTGCTACCCTTGGGATGATCCGGGGAGCGTGGATCTCCATCTGAATGTTAGGTAGGGTTCATCGACACTCGACAACCAATATTTCCCCACCAAAAAATTAACTTCACCTCCAACAAAGGTTGTCGAGCCGGAAAGGCGGCCAATGCTTATCAACACCAGACCAAACTTTCATTGCCATTTTAGTTGTTGTTTTTCCACTTTTTCCCGAATACCGTGGTCGTACAGTTCCATCCTTCAAGAACCCCCACCTCCTCGGACTCCCAAGAAATCCCAAGACTTGAGGGCCGGCTCGATGTGACGGGGAGGGACAGCTGCCGCACCCCAAAGCCCTGGCAGCGAGCAGTGCCGCCTTCCTGATTGCTGATCTACCTGTTTATTAGCACAGGGAATTACATACGAGCCCCCTGCGGCCAGGTCCATTCGCCAGGTCAAACAGGCAGGAATTGATCCGGACCAGCCAACATGCCTGCCTAGGGCGCATTCAATCAATGCATGCGGCCAAGAGACGGCGGACGGAACGTCGTTGTACGGGAGAAGGGGCCGCGGAAGAAACCAGCCCCTGCCGGCCAGCGGCCAATGACGCTCCAACGCGGCGCATGTTGGTCGGCTGTCTGCTGGGCTGTGTCTGGACTCCTTGCTTGTGTTTATTTCTGCATGCGTCGTATTTGCCGGCGAACGTAGCCTCCGTAGCATGGCCTGATCATTGGTATATTAGCGCTGAGCCATCAAGCACCTTCCTCTCTTGAGTACATACCCCTAGTCGCTACTAGAGTTCTTTGGGGTCTGTTCTGGCTGTGGCTCGCATGTAGTCCGCAGGCTGGAATCCGAGGTCGGGAGGATACGCCAGTGAGGTCCCGATGACTACTATATTCCTAAGCCGAGACGGGAATCGATCATTCCACGCACCGTCTCGGCTATGGAAGCTGTCGATAGGACAAAGCTGGGGTCCATCCTCGCCGTATTGGTTTCCTGCATTTCTCAATTCGGCCAAACACCACGCTGAACCACCTGCTCTGATTGGCCGAGCTCTTATCAGTGGGTGGATCCACACCCCTGCTCGATGGCGTTTCTTGGCGGGTCGTCCCCTCCTCTTGTGCTTTGCACTACCTTTGCTTGTGATATACGAGATCGCGCTGAAGGGAGCTCCCACGAGCAGATGCGTCCGGCTCTCACGCCAGTAGCTGAACTAGCGTGCCGATGCATGGCCTGACGTCAAGAAGCTAGCGACGCCTCTTTCCTCGGCCTGCGTTTCGGCGGCCTGTCCGGCCTGCTCGTTTGGCGCGGCGCGGGATTCCAGACGCGGGTAGCTATCTGCTCGACGTCCGCTCCTTTGAGTGGGCTGAGACACCCAGTAACAACAGGCTGCCGCCTACGAAAGATGCCGCCCCCCAGCCGGGCGTTGGCACTGGCATGGGGACCTGGGTCGCCGGCGTGGGACCACCCCCTCCCTCCCTCCCTCCCTCCCTCCGTCGAAGGTGCGACAGGGGTCGCAGAGGGTCGCATGCATTTCATGTACGGAATTGGTCCCTGGGCCGGCTTGTCGGGCGATAACCGGACATGAGTAGCCAAGCTACCCCTGCCACTTACATGTACGTGCCTTTCCACAGGTACTGATCCCCAGCTAGGCGAAGCGTATTTATCCACGACCGTCCGGCTCCATCCTTGCCTGCTGTGCTTTCTTTCTTACTCTGTGGGTTGGGCTTTTAGGTTGTGGTTTTTCTTTTCTTTTTCTCCCATCGACATCCTGGTTTACGAACAAGAAGCAAGCACGCGACCCTGCCTCAAGTCACTTCCGAACGCGGGAGGCACCGCAAACGACCGACCCGGCGGTAGCAGCGAGACCTGAACGACGAAGAGCTCGCAAGAGCACAGACACACACCATGTCGTCCTCACCGTTCCAGTACAATGGTACCATCCCCACGGGCGGGGATTCCCTCACAGAGGACCTCAACCAGTGGTACGCGAAGGGTGACCTCGCATGGATGATGACCTCGTCGGCCCTCGTGCTCCTGATGATTCCCGGCGTTGGCTTCTTCTACTCAGGACTCGCCCGCCGCAAGTCCGCCCTGTCCTTGATATGGCTGTCTCTCATGTCCATCGGCGTAGCCTCTGTAAGGAAAATCCAACGAATCCATGAACATTTCGAGGTTTATAAACCCTGTTTAAACTAACGCGAATCACTTTGGAGTTTCAATGGTTTTTCTGGGGATATAGTCTATGCTTTTCCCATACCGCTGAAGGGCCTTTCCTTGGTGACCTTTCCAACATTGGTCTCAAGGACGTCCTTGGCGCAGCAAGTGTGGGCAGCACTGGTCTGCCCGACCTGATGTTCTGCCTTTATCAGGGCATGTTTGCCGCCATCACGTAAGCTACCGAGTCACATTGCTGCATTGCATGTACATGGCTAGCAAAACTAACAGCAACAATTTTTCCTGCTTCGAAGTCCGGCCCTCGCGATTGGTGCTGCTGCTGACCGCGGCCGCATGCTGCCTGCCATGGTCTTCGTCTTCGTCTGGGCTACGATCGTCTATGACCCTATCTGCTACTGGACCTGGGCGCCACACGGCTGGTCACTGAAGATGGGAGGCCTGGATTATGCCGGTGGCACGCCCGTACACATCAGCTCTGGGGCAGCGGCCCTGGCGTACTCGCTCATGCTCGGAAAACGCCGGGGCTACTCCAACACGGCCGGCCTGCCCTTCCGCCCTCACAATGTCACTCACGTGGTCCTAGGTAGGTCCTGTGTTCCTTCCAAACCATAACGCCAAATCCTAACCCGCGGTTCTAGGTACTGTGTTCCTCTGGGTCGGCTGGTTCGGGTTCAACGGCGGCTCAGCGCTGGGGGCCAACCTGCGCGCCGTCATGTCGCTGCTCGTCACCAACATCGCCGCCGGCGTTGGCGGTATTACCTGGTGCCTGCTCGACTACCGCCTTGAGCGCAAGTGGAGCACCATCGGCTTCTGCTCCGGTGTCATCGCCGGCCTCGTTGCCATCACCCCCGCTGCTGGCTACGTGCCTGCCTGGTCTGCCATCATCTTCGGTGTTGTTGGTGGCGCTGCCTGCAACTTTGCCACTAAGATCAAGTTCCTGATCGGTATTGACGATGCCCTCGATATCTTCGCCGAGCACTGCGTCGGCGGTATCGTGGGCAACCTGCTCACCGGAATCTTTGCCGCGTGAGTCCTCATATGCTGTCTCTGCAGATTCGTAGACAACATTCATCTCGGCTAACACGTGTACCCCTCTAGCAACTACATCGCCCGTCTTGATGGCGTCCTCGAGATCCCCGGTGGCTGGCTCAACGGCAACTACATCCAGCTCGCCTACCAGCTGGCCGACTGCGTTACCGGCTTCTCTTACGCCTTCGTGATGACCTGCCTCATCCTATTCATCATGAACCTCATCCCCGGCCTGTCCCTCCGCGTCACCGCCGAAGAGGAGGAAGAGGGACTGGACGCGAACCAGTGCGGCGAGTTTGCTTTTGACTACATAGAGATCACCCGCAACGTCGGAGATCTGGTTCACACCGCGGAGCACCCCGTCAGCAGCCAGGGTAGTGTGAAAGGTCCTACCCCGGTCGTCAAGTCTGAGCAATGAGCAGCCTTGATCGTTTGGGGCCTTTTTAGTTCTTGCCTTTACTAGACGAAGCCGGACTGTACAGGATATGTGGTAGTAATCGAAACTATTTTGCCTATTTGCATGTCTGTCAGGGGCAGTAGGGCCTACAGTGCGGCATTTGGAAATGGGTCCGCATAGGCCCCGCACGGCTCGCACGCTCGCTTCTCCGCCATCAACTTCAACCGATGCCTGCCAAGTTATCCGAGCCCAGCCAATCCGGTTCGGTCGACGACAAGACACCATCACCACGGCGTCAAGCAAAGGTATCACCAGCTCCGCAAAGCGAGGCGCACGAAGCAACGCGGTTCGGGTGTCCAAGCCGGATCCAGGATACCCCTGGCCTCTTGACGATGAAGACGAACTCGCAACTGTGCCACGGCGATAACCCCCGACCTCGGACGGAGAAGAAGGCGAATACACGGGCTCGTCGGCTTCATCGAAAGAAATTTGACAATAGAGAAGACGAACCCACGGTATTGCTGCAGCGATCGCTTCCAGCATCTGACGCAGAAGACGGCCAGCACGTGTGAAACCGCAGCCGCAGCCGCCCCGGGGCCCTGACGGCGAGCACGACCATGTCGCCTCTGCCCCCCAGGGCTCTAACGAAAATCAGCCTGTATACTTCCGTGATCACGCGGATGTGCTTGAGCTCCCGTTGCTGGAGGCGCGTACACTCTCAGGGGCCACCTTCAAGAGCGACGCGGACTGGGAGAAGGCCAAGAAGAAGTTTAAGGGGAGAGCAATCGTTGACTAGAGGCGACTGCATTCAAGCGCCAGCCGGATTAACCTAAAAAGCATCGGGGTGACGTCGCCATGGCGGTCCAAAGTTAAAGCAACGCCCAACATGTTCGCCGTCAGCACGCGCGAAACTCGGAGCAACATCGGGACCGCGCGAACAAAGGCCGCGTGGTCGATGCGACAGGATTGCCGAACATCTACAATATGAGAGTGTGCAGGTAGTGGCGATGCACTTCGACACCCAAGGTAAGTCTTTTCCCCCGTCGATAAATATTACATTTCTTACTTCCGTGGGTTTCTTTTTCCAGACTTGCTAGACAAGATACTGTTCCACCCTATCATTTGTCATAAACCAAAGCACTGGTCCTATTACTACCCTTCTCCATGTCGTCGTTTTTGTTCCCATTCTAATTTCCATTCCTGTTCTTATTTCTGTGCAAACCCTTCCGACCATATTCCAGTCTACCCACCCCCGGCGTTAGCCGCGTGTTGATCAACAAGATAGAAACTGAGGGCCAGGCGCTCCTTGCTACACCCAGCCCCGCCCTTTCCATTGCTGGCCAGCTTTTAACTTATGGGCTCATCACCAGCCCGGGCCCGGAGTTAGCGTTGCTCCTTATTTGCCCGCGCACGGACTGGCCATTAGTGACCTCCCCGGGCAGCTAGAGCCCTGCCCACGGAGAGATTACCGACACTTCCGAGCCCGACCGCTCAGACGAATGTGACCAGCGGGACTCACAGAACGACCCCGCCCCCGATGCTTCCTGGAACTCGGACGTCGACGGCGATCAAGTCGCGATCTCCAATCCGCCTGTGGTTCAGAATGTGTCGGCTTGCGACGGGGACGTTCGCGGTCAGACGCTCATCATTGTACTGCGTGACTCTGCCAAATATCGATCTCACTAACTTGATACCATTCTCCGAATTCATGCTGTCCAGCTGTGGCATATCATTCACCTGGTCAAATTTGTCGACAACCTCGAAAAGTACTCCGGGGTCACGATACTACTCGAAGGTGTCTCAAGTGCACAATCCCCAACCATGAAGCAGACCGCCATTAACACCCTCCTCACCATACGAGGGCTGATATTGTGGTGAGATCGCTGGACCGGCTCACTCGCCATGCCAGCGACTTGGAGTTCATTCTCGATGGTCTCGAGCTGCGGCAGTCCCGCGTGCTCATTGCCTGTTTTGGTGCGGCGTCGAGTGGCAACCCATGGACACTGGTTTCGGATGTTGCTCAGACTTCATTGAAGGAGAAGCTTGCGATGGTACATATAATCCTACGCCCAGTCTCGAATCCAGCCGACGCCATGTTACTTCGTGTCCTTACAATTTATACAAACAGATTATTCTCTTGGCATTTGGGGATATGCAATCCTTCGAGACGACCAGGCAGCGGGTTCTAGAAGCTAGGCCCGAAAATATAAATTTCCAGCAGTTTCACACCCTCCTCGCGTCCGCCACACACCACTACTCGAGGGTGGTTGGACTCGCGAAATGCTCCCCGCTCCCCGTTTTTCGAGACCTCGAGTAGGACCTGCAAGTCGCGGAACGAACCTCTACTCCTCCTAGTAGTCGGTAGGGGTATTGAGTACACCACACTGGAGTTTGCGTCAGCATTCGACCCGTGGGAGACTCCGTGATCGCCCAGCTCAGCAACGAACCGGTCATGGCCCCAGGCGACAGCGTTGGCACTTTTGATCTCGTATCCGAGCGCCGCTAGGTCGTTGATGTCAGCATAGTTCTACGAGGTCTTGTCAGAAAGGTGTAATTCGTTCCTCTTGGATATTAGGCTCCATGGGGTGTTGTAGGGAAGATCTGCCATCAACGCGTTTCAGTATCCGTACACCATGGCAGGATATGAGCCGGACGGTAAAGGATTTTCCAATAGTTAGTCAGGCCTGATCGCCAGCCTCACTTTTGGCAAAACCTGTCCTGCTTGCGATGCAGAGCACATGGCCAAAACCAATCTTTGCAACAGGGGCCACAATGCATCGCGCCATGGTGTATCCCGTATGGGNGNGNGTGCGCGACGGTACGTACGTACGTACGTAGTAGTAG